CGCAAGTTGTGTTGGTTTGTTATTTCTTTTAATCTTGGCTGCCAAGCCCTTTCCAGTCTCCATTTTAACGCCTACCTCGCAGCATTCTGTCTCTTTCGTGGTGGCAACGGGATGACTATTTTTGACGCTCCAAACAGCTAGGCTCCTGGAATGGCTGGGTTTCCTTTAGGTTCCCATGAAAAATCCACCCAAAACGGGGTCCATTATCAGGAGCCCAAGACCTTTGAAGATACAGCTGAGTACCCGGCTGACAGACTCGATGCGATGCCAGGTTGAGGACGATCAGACCTGGCAGCTCCAGGAGCAGGCCGCGGATTGCACGCGTGCTGGTTTTATTTTCGGCTCCCACTTGGGGGAGCCTGGCTTCACATCCTGCGGTTGCGGTGCTATTCATTTTTTGGCTAGAAGAAGTCAACTTATGTTGCTCTTTTGTTTGGTTGTTGTTGTTCTTGTTGTTTTTTTGGTTGCTGTTGTTGCTGTTGCTGTTGTTGCTGTTGCTGTTGCTGTTGCTGTTGCTGTTGCTGTTGCTGTTGCTGCTGCTGCTGCTGCTGCTGCTGTTGCCGTTGCTGCTGCCGCCGGTGTTGCTGGCTGCTGCTGCTGCTGCTGCGGCTGCTGCCGGTGGTGCTGCTGCTGCTGCTGCTGCTGCTGCTGCTGCTGCTCTTCTTCTTCTTCTTCTTCTTCTTTTTTTTCTTCTTCTTCTTCTTCTTCTTCTTCTTCTTGTTTTTGCACTTAAGCCCTTGTCTGGTCCTGACAAACATGGTTGTTTTGGCCCTCCTTGGTGCCGCGACTGTGAGACCACCCCAACCCGGGCCCATCGCACCCACTTCTGAGGAGCGCTGTGAGAAGGTGGCGCTGAGGCGCCAGCAGCAGCTGGAGGCCAGCGCGGAGCTCCCATTGGCATGTCCCCAAACTGTCAGAGTCAACCCCAAAGGGGGGTTTGTTGAACCCTCAAGCCACTTGCTCGTTTTGGAACTTGAGTTTCAGGTTTTCTTGGTTTTGTCATGTCCCGCTGTGCTGTGCGTCATTTGCGCCTGCGTTTCGCATTGGGATTGCGTTGTGCTATAAGCAGCTCTGCTTACAGTGTGCTGGGATCGGTCGCATCGATTCCCGTCAGGCAGCAACACTTTGTTGGGACGTTGACCGACTTGCGAGGATCGGGATCGATGGGCGTACCCCCAGGACCAGACAACGTCTCCGCTTGCGGACGCTAATCTCTTGGGCTCGGAGTGCTCAGAGTTCCTTTGAGCCAACTAGACCAATGTGCCCTGTCCGAGCTCACATTGTTGCTTGAAAGTGCTCCCGCGTATGCGAAGTTCCTTTCCAGGTCCGGCTTGCTTGAATATCTGGGTTTAGTTTCATACGGAAGTGGTGCATGCAACGCTTTCGAAACCGACCATGTCGCACTTTTGGGATGGTGTTGCCGCGTTGCTTGCGCTGTTTGTGTAGCCGCTCCTTCAGCTTGGCTTGCTTGTCGTGGCTCTGCATGGTTTTCTGTGGGGTGCTGCTTGCGTATTGCGCCACAGTTATGTCAGGGCTGGGGTTGGCAAGGCTGGTCAGGAGGAACCCTTTGCTGGGACCGGAAGGTTTGGTGTGGCGTAGCAGCGATCGTGCAGTTTTAACTCAGCTGGAGCCAAGAAGCTGTAAACAGGTGTTCTAGGCACGTTAGCAAAAAAGTGGACGAGTGGCCTAAGTGGAGTGTGCAAGTAGGGCTTGCGCTGGGCGAGCGAGCAAGCGAGCAAGCGAGTGACGAGTGGACGAGTGAAAGAGTGACTCGAACACTCTTGCGGCCCGCTCGCACACTTCTCACTCGAACAGAAAACAGCTTTTGTAGATCTTATTCTTGACTTACGAATACTGCCTTCAACTGTGTGCCAAACTGTGTTTAGTTCACGTGTTGTTTCATTACCAAGCACGCGTGCCGTATGGCCGGCCGTGTGGCTCAAGTTCTTACCTGCCGTCAGGTAGGATTAGGACTTGCGTGCGAGTGCCACACACTGGCAGCCTTCGTCCTCGTGCTAAAAGGTCCGGAGCCGCTGGCGGCTGGGTGTAGGAGGTGTTCGGCGAGTCGTGCTGTTCTACTTGGGCTTGGTCTTGAACTTAACTCTCTTCAACCTGTTTTCCAACTTCCCCAAACATCTTCTTTGACAGTCACACCCTCAACCCGGTCATCATCCACAGCTTCCTCCCGAGTTGTGTTACCGGGTGCTTTAGGCACATTGTGGTCTCTTTGTGTTCATTTGCTTCCCTGGGCTACATCCTTTCCGCCCGTAAACAGCTAGAAGCTGTGGCTGGTGACCCGGTTGCGGGTCGTTACCCACTACCTGCGCCTCTTCACCCTCGAGCAGGACCAGTGGCTTCTCCGGGAGCCCGCGGACGACGAGGCCAACGCCCTCCGTGGAAATGCCGCGCTCAACGCCCCCCCGCCTAGAAAGCCGTGGCGCCTTCGCCCGGTGATAGGCGCAGAGCCCAATCGCGTTCAGATCAAGGACCCCTTTCTAGAAGAGGTTGGGATGCGAGCCGCTACAATGCGCAGGCTCAAATCGCATAACCCAACCTCAGGTACTCATGAACGGGATGTGGGCCGCGAAACAGCAGGATCCACCTTCCGCATCATCGAGAACTCACGCCGGTCTTTTGCCGCTTTTGGCGGGCGCTGGACTCAAAAAGAGTCCGCCCCGGTCATGATCGACCTCGGGGAGCACTCCCACCATCGTACCAGTGATGGATCCGAACAGGATTCACCTGGGAATGGATCTACTTGTTTCAACCTCCTCGACATCCCGTTCAACCAGCCACCTAGAAGGGGCAACGAGGATGATGAGACCATTCCTGGAGTTCTTGACGCAATTGATGAAGCTGAGACTACACCAGAGCGACGCACAACTTCGCTCCCGTCAAGTCGCGTCGCCCAGATCTTGAAGCCTTATGTTCATGATGTCGCCCAACGACTCGATCTTAATCAAGCTGATCACGGTCAAGTCCAACAGCGTGGATCATCGTCTCATGACCTCCTGCCGGGACATGCCGCGCTGACTTGCGAGCTACTGAAAGGATCTCTGAGTCACCCGGCGTGAGGCTGGTCTACGTTCATGTCCTCCCGCTCATCACGACCCCGTTGATGTTCCCACTCATTCCGCTGGATACGGGCTTCGCTCCAACGCTCCGATGTTTGAGAAGGACACCGACGACGGCACCATCATGACTCATCACTGATGCTATCGTGCCCGCGTTCTTCCAGATTGGTTCCAGCCACAGCTCAGTAATGGACCAGAAGCAAGAAGATCCCCACGTACACTCACAGCGGAGAGTTCAAGGATGCCTCCAAGGTCACCATAGAACGGCAGACCAAGAAGGCCATTCTTCGCGCCTTGTCCATGCAGGAGCAGGTTGCCACTGATCAGGAGGGTGAATACCTCAAATCTAAACCGATTCAAAGGCGCTTGATGTACAGAGCGTTGCACATGTCCTTGCACATGTCCTCTACCCCTTCCGCCCCTGGACATGAAAGCTCGATCCGCTGGCTTGCTGACACTGGCTGCCCGATCGATCTTGTTGGGCTGAACGAGCTCAGCTCGGGCGAGCAAAGCGTGATCAGGAAAGTTGGACGGACTCACGCCCTGCAAGCTGCCAACGCTTGGCAGCGTCTCCGCTGAAATGCTTAAACCGGTGCAGCATTCTAATCTTGCAGCGAGGGTGAAGCAACAGGCGATTACGCTCATCCATCTGCTCTGATGGTATCTCATGCGAGTTGTGAAAGCCGTGCAAAGTCATGCAAAGCACATGCAGGCTACCACGCCTCATGAAACCGGTTGGTGCGTAGGAAGTCATAGTTGGGGAGGTTGTCAATGCTCATGTCATGCAGAACACGCCATCCATCATTTCTATTGGCAGACGCTGCATGGAGCAAGGTTACACCTTCACCTGGCCCGTCGGCGAACTTCCAGTTCTCCGAGGGCCTGGGGGCAAGGAGATTGTGTTGGATGGTTTGAACAGTTGCCTATGTCTCGGTGAAACTTCAGTTCTCCATCCGACGGTCCGTCACGCTGTTCCTACCCCATCAGCGCTTCCTTTGGACAAATCTCCTAGGCGCCCGCTGACGGTGAGGAACCCGTTGCTTCTGAACTACCTGATCCCGATGTCCATCCTCATCCTATTTCTCCTGATTCTGAATGTGGGGGGGACGTTGTTGAACTTGATAGTCAACTGCGAAGTGGCAAGGACTGGAAGGCTGACGCGCTGACCCTCCGCCACATGATGACCCACCTTGCGAAGAACCCATTCTGCTCTCACTGCCGACGAAGATGACTACTTCACCGACGAGACCGTCATCGCGTCGAAGATGGTGCCTAAGACCCTGTACAAAGTGGTCCGTCACTTCGCAAATATCGCCTCTTCGTTGAGCGAGGGGTCATCATCAGGGCGGGCAGAGCGATGGCCCTCCTGGCCGGACGAATACGTGACCATGGTGAGTGCCCCACCAACTCTGTCGACCGCATCACCGATCGGAATGTGACAGAGATTCACAAATTCGCTATTTGGTCCTGGCAATTGATGCACATTACGCGCCAGGGTACCTTTGCATCGCGCGAGAATATCGCAATCGGGTATTGGCGTTGTGCGTACCATCGTCTATCTTCGACCATGGATCTACCAGCCCAACTTCCTTGACACCATTCCCGATGATCCGAAGAAATGCTATCATGAGGTGAAGAGGGACACGCGCGCCACACCCGATCGGCGCACATTTGTGCACGGTCTGCTACCTGTCTTCTATGACACAGTACTGCCGACCGGAGACACGGGCGGCGGCGCGCGTACGGGCAACAGCGTTGACGGCGTTGTTCCCGCACGGGTGAGAAGGTACAAGGCTGCGAATCCCCTTTGTGGAGCGACGACGACACCATGTCTATCGGACTGGCCATCTACTCGCAGTGTCCCGCAGTTGACGCGCGATCTATGATGCTTACCGGCACGCGCCCTCCAAGTACCTCGATCAAGATGCCGCATGGCTTGCATCATGCGCCGAGCGAGGCGCTCCACCTGCTGGGCCTCAGTCATGTAGTAGGCCGTGTAGAAGCCGCTCCTGTTGGGGTTGAAGCTTGGTGTCTACCCCGCTCTGCCGCATACGCTACGTGTTCCTCGAAGAAATCAGAGACAGTGCGTCCATTCAAAAGAACTCCACGAATCAGGATTATCTTGGCGACCCACTCCTCTATGGTGCGGTCAACCGAGCCCTGGTACTTGGAGCGACGCACCTTTTTTCTCGGACAACAAGGTACAGCTTCCCGAACACGTCCTCAATTCCACCATTGCCCGGCACCGCTGATCCGGTGTTGTTCATGCTCCTCCCGCACTGTGGCTGGGCGCGGGCGCGCTGGAGATGGTCCCTCCGGCGATACTGAGTGAGGCCGTGACCGCGCTAGAAGTGCTGGGCCGGTTGTAGCCGGGTTTCACGCCGTTAACTTTCGTTAACCAATGTCTTTTCGTTTCTCCAACTCATTCCACTTTCCAACCGACACACGGCGCGCTCCGAGGTGCGGTGATCCAGACAGGATCCCCCTCTCTGATCGCCACTCTTCCACCACAATGCCTGAACGGCGCAAGAGGAATCTGCGCACTCACGTGGCCCTTTTGCCAGATAATCCTGTCGCCCCGCTAACTCGGGGTGGTGGCGGGATGTGAATTGAGGCCCAGGTGATGTCGTTTGGCTCGCCTCTGAGTTGGCACTGGCATGTTTGGTTGGTTCCTTTCGTCGTGAACTCAACTGTCACGCATCGATGAGAGGTGTGTGTTTGGTTCACGTGTTGTTTCATCACCAATCATGTGGCCGTATGGCTCAAGTTTTTACCTCCCGTCAGGTAGGATTAGGACTCGCGTGCGAGCGCCATACACTGGCAGCCTTCTTCGTCCTCGTGCCAAAAGGTTCCGGGGCCGCTGGCGGCTGGGTGTAGGAGGTGTTCGGCGAGTTGTGCTGTTCCACTTGGGCTGTTTTATAAATTAATTTCTTCAACCTGTTTTCCAACTTCCCCAAACATCTTCTTTGTCAACCGTCGCACCCTCAACCCGGTCATCATCCACAGCTCCCCCCCGAGTTGTGTTACCGGGTGCCCAAAGCACATCGTGGTCTACTTTGTGTTCATTTGCTTCCCTGGGCTACATCCTCTCAGCCCAAAACCACAAAACAAACGGTCAATGTTACAATACCTGGTTTCTGTTTGCTGAAAAGTGTGCAATCCACGCAAGTGTTCGAGTCCCTCTTCCCCTCGTCCAATCATCCGTTCGCTCACATGTTCCACTCACACACTCCCACGGTCCACTTGTTCACACTCGCACGCCTTACTCGCACATCGCCCTTGCGCGCTCGTTGCGGGTTTTGTGTTAGACATGTTTACAACTCCTTGGATGCAGTTAAGTTTTAGTATTTGGAATGGACAGAGTTTGACTCGTTGGCCACTTGTTTGTGTTTTTAGCCCATTGCTTGAAATGCTTTCGGGGTATTTAGGGATTGAAACATCTCGTGCAAGCGCGGAACGTTAAAGACTTGATTGATACCGTAATTTGGAGGACTGCAATCTTGGAGCTTGTGTCCTTTCAGGAACCTTGAGGCCCAATTTCCCGCCTGATTGCGGAGGGAGGTCGCAGCCAGGACTGGCATTGGGGTGCCTTACGCAGTCAGCGCTGCACCAAGCAGCCGACCTACACACTCACACCCTTCAAAGACTGAGACGCAAGAGCAGCATGAGCTGATTGGGGTTCCCAACAGGCCCGTGACTTTCGGATCATAAGCTGCTTCTTGCGTAGTTTCAAGCATGTTCCACTGATCGGCTCATTTCTTCGCGTTTTGCTGGGCTCTAAGTACCGGCGAATTGCTGTACAGAGCAACAAGTGTAGGTTTTGCTTTGCAGAAGTGTTCACTTGATACTAGGAGCTGGATCAATCCGAGTCTGAGCCACTCACGAAGGTGACACGCTCTTTTGTTGATGCGGACCCTGTTGAACTTGGACGATGCCTTTGAACGGAACACTCTTCCCAGCCACACGTGAACAAGGCAAATGCCGTCCCAATCCATCTCTCAACAACAAAGCCACCTTGCTCTCGTTTTCGCACTTCTTTCTCCCTTTCCTTGTGAGCAAACACCTGCCAGGCCTTGTTGACCCAGGCGAAGGGTTTCCAGAGACAGCGGCTACAAATGGAGGCTCACGGCGGAATGTATGTGTGTATGTGTGTGTGTGTGTGGATGTGGGCTGCAGCAGCCAGAAACAGGTGCAGCCAATTGCTATGGTTTCTGGGGAACCAACCCCACTATTCCCACTCGCAACCATGTCTCAGCCAAATGATATCTACGGTGGGTACCAATGGGCCTTGAGTCAAAACCATGCACCGGTTGTTTTCCTTTCATCTGGTTTTCTTTTTTCGCCTATCTTTCTTGGCGGTCAAACGTTGGGTTCCCGCTTTCGCGTCCTTTTGCGAGAGGCGCAGTGCCGGCAACTCGAGGTGGAGGCGCCCGATTGCACAGTTCGGACGCACCTCGCAGGAGTACCAAGGAGGGGAGTAGGTGGAGCTCGCAAGCCATGCGCTTCCAAATCCCTTTCCGGCACACAACAGGCTGAAAAGAAAGGGGGTCCGGTGCCATGAAGGTTTCTGGTCTAGCCACACAAGCGGGGTGCAACCAGTATCCAATCCGATTGCTTCGTCCGGGTCTTCAAGGATGCATTCGGCCTTTTTGCACATCATGTGTACTAGACCTTCCACACGGCTTGTGTTTGCGCCTTTGGTGGAAGCCACTTCTACACAAGCATACGCAACCTCTGTTGCCGGATGATAGCCCCCCTAGAAATCGCTTTGTGTCTCCGCTGCTTTGATCATTGTGACCCATGGGCAGCCGCAGCAGACAGGCAGCCGCTCTCAAAGCTTGTGGCGGGATGGGCGTCAAGGTACGGACACCAAAGAACGGGACAGACCGAAAGCGAAAGATGTCGGTGTTCAACGTGTTCAAAGTCAGCCATTCGGATATCTCTGCTTCAAAGGATATGAGTTCGGCCAGGCATAGTTCCAGTGAAATCTGAACATCCAAACGCGAGATACAGACTTTGGCCAATCTCGGCCCTTCGCCAGCAATGGGCAACGAGGAGCTGCGAGTGGGTAGGTCAGGATGCTTCTGGATGCAAAAACCCTCTTTGGGTTTCATGGAGTTTGTTTCTGATTTGTTGTTCCACTCTTTTTTCATGGAGTGCTGATTGGAGTCTTGGAGGTGTGTATTCTCAGGTTCGTAGTGAAAACGTGCGCAAGCGTTAGCGTTCTCATTGAAAGCCGCCGAGGAGAATCGGGTGCAGGCCGTAAGGTCAGGTGATAGGTCCTCAGGCCACGAAGCGCCTGGCAACATGAGCGGAGGAAGGCGTGCGATTTGGTGTAGTGGCAGTTGGCCCAAAGGGCCAAGCGTTGCCAGCGATATTTCATTTGAGATTTCTGTTGTATTCTTGTGGAGAGCAATGAAAGAAGATGAGAAACTGGTGAGGCACTGTGCATGCAAGCGCATGATTGGCCACGAGTGCAAGTCTGAAATGTCCAAGTATCACTTTATGCGCCCAGAGCTGCATGTTTTTTCCCTCATGAAATGTGAAAACAACAGCGAATGATAAATTTGCCAGGTTGCTCCTTGCTGCACTTTGGTTTTATGAAATGAGGAGAACACCCCTTGAGAGACAACCCCATGGGGTTGTGCGCAGGACCTAGACGTGCGGGATGGGCGGCGCCTTCAGGTGCTGGTGCTGCACGGAAGGAGCCCGTGGGGGAGTGCGGGGGTTGGGGTTGGGCTTGGGGACCGCGGTACTGTCCGCACGAGTCATGAATCATTAGACATGTTACAGGTTCCAAAACACAATGTCCTCATGCTTTAGGACATCCATTCTTTGAAGGCTGGTCACATCAAATGCATGGTGGTTCTTTTTGTTGGCATGTGTCTCGTAGATTCCGAGTGGTGGCAAACACACATTTCACATGTCGAGCGAACTGAGGCAAACAGCTCCTGTTGGATTTGCCCTGTCAGGAACGGTTGCAGACCTGGTCCGACCAAGCTGGTGGAAAAACCCATCCTTGTGCTAAGAAAACCAAGGGGACACGGTTCTTGTACCAACGTCCCAGACCTGCACATATGGCCATGGTTCACAACCCCGTACCCCCAGTGAACATCCCAATCCCCGCTAAAATAGACTAAAATGGGTGGTGCACCTATCTCAAATTGGTACCATTGCTTTTGAACCATGGCCATAGTAATATATATATATATACATATATATATATACATATATATATATACATATATATATATACATATATATATATACAGTACTTGTTGAAAAATCAAGGACGCACATGACCCCTGATCGTTTGCGGCCTTGGCGCCTTGGCTTGCGAGGCAGTCCAACGCGAACCTGGCCAACTTCCAGCCGGCGGCCCCGGCCGGCGAGAGTGGGTCAGTGGGTTCGCTGCCAGGCTTCCACCAGTATCGATCCAAAAACCCGTGGAAATGAGCCGGAGGCCAAAGGGAAGGACGACTTTTTGCCACGGCGAAGGTGTTTCCGTTTGCAAGAGTTGCGCTACTGGAATGGGAGGCGGAGTTGGGGTTGGTGCCTACCCAGCAACCAGGGTCCGCGCCGAACTCGTGTGGCTTGCTCGGCCGCTCCCAGATGCCGGTTCTGGGAAGGTCACCAAAGAGAGCGCTCGAAGAATTGACTGACCTGCCAGGGTGCAGATGACAGGCTCAAAGTGCGAATCCAAAGGCTACACTCAAGAGCTCCGCTACTATTAAAGCAGGACCGGCAGCAACGCGAAAGCGGGCGAGCATGCCAAATCGACTGAAGGCCTATTTGTGAAAGAGCCGTGATGCCGATCCCATGAAACATGCATTGCAGCTCCGAATGCAACTCTTCAAAGATGCAATGCCGGGCGCAGTCTGTCGCTAGGCCCTTCCTTTTGCTTGTTGGGGGGCACGAGTGACAGTTGCAGACGTGGTTGGGCCGCTGCGCCGTGGTTTCTTGGCCACCACCCAAGGCTGGAACATGTCTGGCAAGGTGGCACTGCTGGCCTTCACGGTAGCGTGGCTTTGCTCCCAACAAGAACATGTGGGCTGATGGTGGCGCAAGGCTTCAGAACAGAACTTGAATTCGTCGTGATGCATCGCCTCCCGCCAACAGTGCGCGTCGAATCTCACCGTGGCGTCACGGCTCTTTCACGATAGGCTTTCAGCCGAATTGGCACGCTCCCAAGGAAGCAGGCGCTCGAGCTGCTTCGCCCGCTTTCGCGCAGCAGGCGGTCCTGCTTCAACGTGCCTTTTTTTTTGTTTTACGGCCACGCTGTGGAATTGCGCCAAGCTTCAACTCGAGTGTTTTGCGCAAACCGGATCGCCGATCTGTTCACATGAAAGCTTCCTGCCTTGCTTTGGCAGCATGCAGCGCGCTCCCAGGATTAGTGCCCTGAAGACCGCCTTTGGCAAGGATGGGGTGTTCAGCTTGCTGACATGGATGGGAATGACATGTGTTTTTTTGGATGTTGCCTGGATGTTCAGCAAGCGACCCAGGTGATGGGGGTGTGACATAAGCCCACCAAGCTGATTCTGCAGGACACCGACTTTGATTTCCTGGAGGGCGACGTGAAGTGGGAGTACCGGCGCGGGCTCCCACTCAGTTGAAAAAAGGCCCAGCACGAGAAATCAACGGGTGGAAACCCCATAGCGGGCAAATGTTTTGCTGTCCCGACACTCTCGCGAGCCTCTTTGCACCTAGTTTGGGTTGGTTGGAATTAGATTTCTTAAACTTGGGGACATCATCATGTGTTTGAACGTGGCCCCCATCGTTTGCAAATGTATATGTGCTGAACGAGAACCGTGTTTTGGGTGCATGGGTTAATTGGCATCCCAAACAAGCCCGCGAGGGGTGAGCAAGTTGGTCTGTCCGGGCCTCCGAAAGGCCCGGGGTGGACTTGCACGACGCGGATGCCATGTCCGTGAACTTGTCCAAGGGGAAGGACTTTAAGGCGCAGAGATCGCGGGAGGGGGAAGGGGCGTGATGCCGTGGCCCAGTTGGTTGGGGCTCTTTTGCAGCTTCGAAGGCCGTGCGAGTGACTTCGGCGGGTACGGGCAGCGTGGCCGATCCGAAGTGGTGGCAGGCTTGGTTCAACCACACCACCGACGACACGAGGGCATCTCTGGCCAAGTTTCCTGCGGCATTGGTTTTCCAAATGGCCTCTGGCACTTGGCCCTAGGCTGGTTTCTAATTTTCAAGCCAGTCCGGAGGTGCTGTGCGAATCTCATCTTTGGCGTTTTTTTTCCTTTTTTTTATTCTTCTTTTCCCTCCGTTTTCTTTTCTTTGTCGGATTTGGCAGAGTGTGCTGTTATTTTGGAGTAAAGGTGGCGCCAAAGGGTAGATGCCAAAGGTAGATGCTGAACATCATGATCTCTATCATCCTCTATCTCCTGTGCTCCTTTGTATCCTTCTCAATCTTCTTCACTTTCGCCTCTTTCTCCCTTCCCTTCCCCTTTCTTCTCCTCCTCCTCTTTCTCTTCCTCCTCTTCCTCTTGCCAGCTAGACAGGCACGCTTTGACCTTTTCAAGCAGCAGGACCCAGGCAGGGTGTGTGGAGACGGATTTTGATTGCAGACCGGAGTGGATGGGCGGCCCGACTATGGACCTGAGTGATGGTTGAGACGTGGTCTTCCTGCTTTGCAGGCACTTGTTTGGGTGCAAAAGCTGAGGGACTTTTCTTTTTGACCTCGGACACATCCAACCCACAAACCACAAACTCGCGCGCCCAACATCAACATTACTCTCCCCTGGTAGACCAACGTGTCTGGCCGCCTGGCCCACCGTCCCCGTGTCAAGGTGTGCGGGTCTGCTACCAGGGCGCAGAGGCAGCGGTAGAGCTGTTGCTGCAGCGGGTGAGGGATGGCCCTCCCGATGCGGCTGCTGGGACCAAAGGGAGTGCTGGGATCATTCTCTTTCTACTCTTTCTTTGGGGTCTAGGTACGAGTTTTCCCGGTTGAAGCTAACTCAGAGTTTTTGAGTCTTGCACGATTGAAGGAGCGGTTTTGCCTGCCCGGCCTTCTCCGAGGTCGTGGCCCTTTTTGAGGGCAGCATTGCGACCCCGGCAAGAATTGGGGTGGGGCGTGGGGTGGGTACCAGGGGCGCTGTGTGGCTGTGAATGCCACGATTCCTCAATCAAAGTTGGATGATCTCCTTTGCCGCACAGATAGTTTGTCGAGGTGTTTATGTTGGTGTGTTGGCTGCCAGTTTGTTTGGCCGCAGACAAGCATGTGGCTGTGAGCTGAAAGGTTTCAGAAAGACTTTGTTCAACAAAAAGACAGATCCGCAGTGGTCTTTGGGACATTTCCTGAGTGTTGAATCCAGACCCAGCCGCTCTGGCTGGGCTGTCAAGTCAGCGACCTTGTTTCAGGGCTTCCAGATGCACCGATACTGGAGACTCTGTATGGTGCCACGTCAGTTTTCC